ACCTAAAACCTGCATCTCATATATTGATTTATATTCATATTTATCGGTATTCCTAGTATGATTTGAATTGATTTGCGTATGTAAATTGTAGCACGCTTCAAATAATTAATCAAACATCAAAACTGGGCTCGCATGCTGCTTGGCTCGATTCGTAGTGTAATACTAGGCTATATAGACGGCCCGTATCAATTGATGCCCAGCATATAATAATATAATAGTAATAATTAATTAATAATATTCTAGATATACGGCGAGCGATAGTGTAATTAATWTATAAATGCTCTTTGCAGATCGTCCGGCTAACCGCGGCCGATATGGTAACTTCAACAATGATGAGAGATTCGATCGAAATCAGGATCGGGATCGCGGTCAGCGCGAGGGCAGCTATGGGAATCAGTCGCGCGATGGCGACAGATATAACAATTTCAGTCGGCATCGTGATCGCGAGCGTACCCACTACAATCCCAACCAGCAGCAGGAACGTCCCACTGGCATCGGCGCCATCGGTAACAATTCAATAATGTCTGGATCCGATTCGAAGATTGCTCATACTGAATTTCAAATTGCAGATGACACGGAGCGGCCACGCCTGCAGCTAAAGCCGCGTACAATTGCGGCGCCCATCAATGCGGTGGCCGAAACCAAACAAGCGGCAACCATTTTCGGCAACGCCAAGCCCCGGGAAGAGAAACTGAAGGAGCTGGAACAGAACGTCAATCACAATGGCGATAACTAGATGCGGCGGCGGTGGCGGCGGCAACTCAGAAATCTTTAAATATGCCTAAATGATATTGAAATCAAAAAGTAAAATAATAGAATTGATCCAGATGAAGACGATGAGACGAGTTGACAGAAATGATAGAGGCATATATCATTTGTGTGAGAGAGCGGCGTGCATATATATGAAGAGAGGCGGAAGATGGTGATGATGAAGATGATGATGACGATGAGAATGACGATGGAGATGGAGATGAAAGCAAAAACAATACAAAATATAATTAATAACTATGCTATATACCTATTATATAAAAAGCTATGTACTATGCATACATAATACACATAAACAACATACTTGGCTGGCCCTCCCCATGTCGGCCAACAAACAACAAAGCAACTTAACAAACAAACAAACAACAAACAACCAAGAAAAACGGAAACAAACAAATGTAATCACAGCAACAAACAATACGACAAAATACTTTCTTACTTCATGTGTGTTCGTTGGAAAGTGGAGCTGAGCGAACTGCAACAGCAATAAGAGCCACATTAACAGCAGCAACAACAGCCACATCATCAACAACAACATAAACAACAACATAAACTCGACAACAACAACAACAACAACAACAACTGCAATGGAAAGTCTTTAAATGTTAGTATGTAAGCAGCGGTAAAGTTAGAGCCGTGCATATATCTATACAATATACGGTATAGCTCATATATGCGCGCTGCTATTTGTTAGTTAAGTAATGCATATGTAAACCTAAACCAACAAAAACAAAAATTATAAAAAATACGTTCTACATTTAAGCGAAAAGTAAAGAAAAAACAAAAAACAGCAAAATCTAAGAAAAAA